CCGGGAGAACACATCATCCTCTTCTTCGTCTTCACTGACTGTTTTGTTTGAAGCGTGCATTTCTGTGGTAAGATCTCTCTATTCATTCATTATGGCGAGTTTAGAGGATGTGTGCATCCACACAATCTATGCGTTGTTTGTTTGGGCGAAGAGCACGCACGCGCCTGTAGAAGAAACGCTGGCCAGCTATCTCTGTACGGGTGAGACAAATTCTCTTAAAACTCCCTCCTTCCCATCTGAGCCCCTTCAGATTAAATCTCGCTTGAATGGCAGGGCATACGCAGCAGCAGGTCAGGCTGTCGATTCGTTGCACACGATGGCGGGCAGGTCCATGGTGGCTATGGTAGTGACGGAGAGACATCTGTGTGTGAACTAGGGGTTGAACGACTTATGATTTTTTGAAGTCGACTTTTATGTGATGAAAGTCGAGTCGAAGTCGACTAGTCGCTGATGACGTCATTAATGAACATTGCAGTGTTTACTTCACTCGTCGATATGATGTCCAGCTGGTATGATAGCCTGGTTTCGGCTTCATGCTTCCTGGATCATGCGGCCAGGTCACAGGCTTCTGTGGGAGCCTTCCTGACCATCAGGCCCCCAGCACGGCACTGCAGAATTTCCTGGACGTCCGGGATGGGCTTATGCTTTCAGGCTGCCCTGTCTGGTATACCATATCTAGGCTATCTATTAACAGATGCTTGGAAGCATCTGTTTCCAATATGTTTAATATGGATTTAAACTCTTAAATCCATATTATGGTACGTGCACACGTTAAGCTTTGCGCACTTTCTAAAATCCACATAGTGGTAAGCAGTGTTGGGGAAAGTTACTTTTAAAAGTAATGCATTACAAAATTGCGTTACTCCATAAAAAAGTAACTAATTACATTATTTATTGAGGGTTATTATGAGCATGGTGCTTTCTTTTGAGCGTTTGAATTCTCTCTCTTCTGAGGAGTTGGATTCCTCGCTCCGTGGGCTGTTCTCGTGGTAGTGTTTAGCAGTGCTCCCCTTTTAACACAAGGGTTACCTATGAGCACGCTACTCCTTTTCTGAATTCGGAGTTCTCCTCTCACGTGAGAGTTGAGTTCTCTGTTTTCCCAGAGCACCTGCAACCAGCGGCATCAGGCGAACTAGGCCCTTCCTCCGCCTCTCTGATGCGCTGAGTATTTTGGCTAGCTTGTAGTATGCTTACCCTTCTGATTTCTAACGATCATGCTATAGGTCGAGCCCCCTCTCGTTGAGAGCTGGGTGTTGTGCTCCCTCAGCTAACTGATGTAACTTACTGCTAGCCATTCCAGCATTGGAACATGCTATAGGTCGAGCCCCCCTCTCGATTGAGAACTGGGTGTGTTGCTCCCTCAGCTAAGTAAATTACTGCTAGCTGTTCCAGCATTGGAACATGCTGCAGGTCGAGCCCCCCTCTCGATTGAGAACTGGGTGTGTTGCTCCTAGTACCCTGCTTTCTTTCTAAAATCCTGTATGGTAAGAGCTACGTGCGGCAGCCTCGTGCTCTTTCTTGAGTGGTTTAAAACCCTGGTTCCGCCTTGGGCACCGCTCCACCTATGTATCCTCTGGATACCTACTTTAACAGCGTGTTGCTACTAAAGGGTCTGTTGAGACAGTTCCTTCAGCATATGCAGAGCATGCGGTAGCCCCTGTGTGACAGGCCAAGACTTAGTATATTCTAGGCTCTTGGTTGTATTCCCTTAAAGGAGTCTATTCCTTGAGCTCTACCCCGGGCCCAGGAGTTCTGGCCCGAACAGGAACGTTTTTGGGGTATGCAGCCTAGGCCTTTGGCCGTAGGGAATAATGTCACTGACAGCTGTCTTAACGTCCCAGGGGCAACTCCCTGGTCACGACGAGGCGTTCCCCATAGTGACCCCTAGAGGACGCAGTGTCTCGTTCCCTACTCAGGGAACCATTGTTACATACGTAGCCTGAGACATTTCTCTTGAACAAATTCCAGTGAACGTAGCAAGATGGGGAACAGCCGCTCAGTCGACATTATTTTATGACTGGTACACCCAAAATGCTCTGGATGGGTTGAGCTCCACCTGTAGTCATACTACGACACACACCGATCCGTGGTGGAAGCTGGACCTGATGAAGATGTACAGTGTGAACAGAGTGACCATCACTAACAGACCTGACTGCTGTGAAAGCAGGATAAACGGGGCAGAGATTCGCGTTGGAAGTGTTTCTTCAGATGTTTTCAGCAACCCAGTGTGAGTATTTCTGATATATTCTTATATGCAGAGATTCTATACAGTTGGTCTGTTACTTTACAAGGTTTATGATCAGCTAAAAAATGTATATATTTTTTCATATATTCAGTATTTGCATGTGTTTACAATATATTAATATTGGTATAAGACCACAAAATAAAATTAAATATATACAGAAAGCAGCAAGACTTCACCAGAATTGTCTGAAGGAATTTCACTCCATCCAAATCCACACTAAATATCACAATAGATTTTACAAAAATAATCCAAAACTTTCTTCAATTCCACAGACATCACTGAAAACTATTTAAATTTGCTTTTAAGTAAATGGTGTTGAAAAGTAATTTGTTCTTAAATTGGACTACACTTAGGCGTGAGATTTTAACTAAAATAAAAAGGATCATAAGAGTAATTTGTTCGTTGTTCGTGTCATATGGATAATGTTTTGCTTCCAGTGAGCGCGGACAACCCAATACAAAGAAATGTCTTGCTATTATTTCACGATAGGCCTACACGGTCTTTTTATTTCATCACACTCAATACAGACTGCGAACTCAGATTCACAGCTCAGGTAAATTATTATTCCTTTTGACGTGGAAGAAAACATCTCCAGGTTACGAATGTAACCATGGTTCCCCGAGGGCAGGAAGCTATAAAAGCACGTGTGGTGGAACCAGCATCAGCTTCTAGGAATGAAGCAAGCACTCACAGGGATGCTGGAAGTATGGCACTGAGACGCAGAATCTCGTTCCGTCGGGGAACCATGGTTACATTCGACCTGGAGACAACCTGGAGACGTTCCCCTTCAGTAACTCGAGCTGCATCGGAAAACGCTTTAGGAACAAGTATGCCTACACGGCCAGACTTACAAATCCCTGCCTAGTGTGGAACTTTTGGCACTTGCCAAAGTAGGCGGGGAAATCCCGCCCAAAGGCCAACTTCAGAAGAAGTGAGCCTTGACCCCCAAAGGAGAGGGGAGATCAGAGGACTCGAGGCTATGGAATAGCATCCTGATCCATCGCTTAGCATAAACTTCTCTGGCCAGAGACCTCCGACTCAGTGCACCGTGGAGGAAACATGTAACTAGGGGTGTCTGCCCACTGACTGGCCACCGATAGGGGCGTGGTAGGCCGCAACGGCCGCCACGTAGATTTTCAAGGTGGACTGGGTCGACCCTGCAGAGAATCGGGCCTGCAGGAACTCCAGCACTGTACCAACTGGGCAGTAAACTGGGTCGAGCTGGT